TCCAGTGTTTCGTCCGTGCTAAACAACCGTTACCGACTATTGCCAACAGCAAACTGAATCTTTTATTTATCTATCAAAACTTACGTACACAGGATATGTGTGTTGTTTGCACTGTATTCTATACGACTACCATTCATTCTGGTGTGTAATACACGCTATTTGCCTCTATTATGTACAAAGAAATACGATTTCCTTTAATTCAATGTTAAGGGAGTTTAATACATAAAGTTATCGCTATTCATGTAAGAGCACTTCGTCTGAAGAGATATTAAGTGTGATGTTAAGAGAGTAAAATTACATATAAAATGAAATTTAAGAGCATTTTTATGTCATGCCTTATCATGCAACTGTTATTCCTTCAAAAGTATTTTGTTAACTAATTTATGCTTTCAAATTTATATATGATTATGTTTGGTCGTTTAATTTAATTGCTGAGTATTATATAATACTTTATTAGCATTTAACTTTCCCTCTTTCTCGATCGTGACATAATGATGATTATCAGGTATTTTTGTATCTCTATTTATGCATCAAAGCGTAACATTTTTAAAGAGACGTGAAATAAATTCCAATTTTAAATTTTGGTCGACAAAAAAAACCGCAGAATCTAAACCCAAAACTAAAATATTTTAAATTATTTCATATTTACGCCTATTGTACTCTCACAGCTGCTATCGAATTTAATCTTTGCAAATTACATTCCAATCCTTGGCAACTTAACAAGAGGACGACTAAAAGGCAAGCTTACAGAGGCACAAGGCAAGAGATGGAAAAACGCAGCATTAGCGCGTTGCGTATGCATTACTCTATATGTCCTTTCTTTACAAATAAATTTTGTTTTGCATATTTTTAAAAGATTGATACGATTTGTCGAAAACTTCGAGGGTAAAGTAAGGAAAAATCTTTCGTTTTTTAAATTTGACTTTATTCCTCAGCACAGTCCCTTACAAGAGTGATACAATCCACAAAAATTTCAATGCCTTTTACATAGAAGGTCTTATCAAAATCTACAAAATATATCACTTACGTCATGACCTTATCGCTTGATCCAAATCTCTTTCTCTAAACCTTGAACAATCCAAAACATCCATTTTAATTCCATTTTCATAGAAGCCTTCATCAAAAGCTTCGAAATACTTCAGTTAAATTATGATCCCACCGTCATACCATCATTTCAGGGAAAGCTTTATGGCTATTGTGACAAAAATAATGCCAGAGTAAGGTTCCTTAGTGGCGGTCGCCTACACTGACTATTTTCGGTAATGTTAAACAAGTCTATACATCCTGGCAAAAGGTGAAAGGATTACACAATAATAAGTTAAAAAGCTTCTCCGCTTAAACCAACTTTAGAATAATTCACAACCTTGATAAAGTATATATGTATAAATGTCATTTGCTTTGTTTATAATAACTAATTATAATTCTAACTTGATCAAGTGAATTGAGTTGACATTCGCTAAACAATCATAAAAGGTTCCCGTTTAACCTGCAGTGTATATGAAATAGGGGGAAAGGCAAATACTTTTTTCCATTTCCATCTTGACATTAAATAAAATAACGATGCTTCAGATAAATTTATTACACATCTTGATTGACTCGTTGGCTTAACTATACCACCCATAACATCTACCATAACAAAAAAAAAAAATAATTTGCAAAATGTTTAGTTGTCGTCATAGGTTCCGATGCTTACAACCTTATTAACCTGCGTGAAGAAAAAATTGCAACATGAAATTTGGCGAAATGAAATTTGATAACTCTACAGATGTTTTTTCGATAACTTTTCGACTGCTTTTGCTTAACGCTGGGATAATGTTTTGCGTATTTAGACAACACTCTATGCTGCGTCAAATTTCCTCCCAATATTTCGAAAAAGAAAAAAAAAATATTTTTATCTCGCTGGCAGAACATTTACTAAAATTGGAACGACGCAGAGAAAATTAGTATGGGGCTTACACAAGAATGACTGACAATATCGTGAAGCTTTCCGGATTTTAATAAGAAAAGATTTGCATAACTTAGGAAAGATCACTTCTCTTAACATGGTCGTAGCTACATAGCGGACATGATAGCACGAAAAACAATATATATAATAAGTTGGAGGGAAAGTTCTATCGTATTTTATTCGTGTACTTTAGGGATTTAACCAGGCACATGTTTTTTCTTATTTACAAGAAAAATTACCTGACTATTTAAAATACGACAGAAGTTTCCCTCCATCCTTTTATAAATATATAAGAAAATTGGTCTATTTTTTAACATTTTCTTACGAAAATTGGTCCATAATAATAATTTGGCAGAAACATTTGGATTTTGGATCCTACCCCGTATAAGGATACTTCTGCTTAGTAAGTCTTTTACGGCGAATAATGATAAAGTCTTTTGGAAGAATTTTAATTTTCTTAAATCCAGACCAAGTCAATTTACATGGACTTTTTGGGCCCCTCTTCCGTGTAAAGCTCTTATAGAAAGATGGCAATAAGACATAATTCTTGGTATTTTATTGCGAGAGAAATGTACTAAGAGAAGTAATGTAAGGTACCTATTGATCCGCCCCGGCCAACTACACTGTTCTTGTATGGTTTGTTATTCTTCATGTAAAAAAGAAGTACTTATCACATCAGAAGAGAAAATAAACCTAAATAAGAAAATAATTGAAACTTGAGAGAGTTCGTTTCCCGTAAAATGATTATAGGCACGTGGCGGACGTGATAACCCTCAAAAATATGTTTATATATATCTACATCTACAATCAAGCTAGCCGGCAACTATATTAAGGAGCAAACAAAAGACTTCATGTTCACAATTAATATTTTTTACTCAACACAATGGATCATCTGTTGTCGATTTGATGAACTGGAGAAGAAGAGGACATTTACGAAAAACATAAAATACTCTTCGAAGTGATTGTATCTTCTCTTTCAGTTTCGAGAATAGAGAAAGACCAAGACGAAGTTACTTAAAGCGGATAATGCCATTGGGGTAACGCGTGTGTTGAAAACTTGCCAAGAAGTATGACACAGTCTGAGAAGGCGGAAAACCAAGAGCCACCAATGAATGTGTATAGTTTGGCCCAAAGAAAAGAATCTATGCTATATTGCATCATGATCATCATAACTTTTGATCACAATACAATGTAATTTCTCCTAGCGAAATGAATGATCGAGAAAAGGACAGAGGAGAGTTGTATTCATCTTATAAGAAAAATTAATAATAAAACTGGACGGACTCCTCTTTCTATAGAGGTAAAATGTATGTCATTATGAAAAACTATTGGCGTAGGTTTGGAACGTAATAAAATTACTTTGAATAACATTGAAACAAATCACTTACAGTTTATGATTTGTGTACGATGCCGAAGAGCCGAAGAGAGAAATTTGGGAAACATTTTCATCTTTACTTTTTTAATAAAGTTTATTAGGTAGTCGTTGCAGTGATAATTCTCGTCTTTTACGATGATTTTACGTGCGATTGCAATGATGATGCTATTAAGTTGCAGTTGCTAATGTAAAAAAATTATTCATTAATGGGCACTTTTTCTTTCAGTTACACTTTACGAGTGTATTTCTTGTTTTTTTTTTTTTTTTTTTTTTTTTTTTTGTTTGCAAGGTCTTAAACCTTATGATAAATTTTTGCAAAGCAACTTTTTTATTGGCCTCTGAAAATTCTTTTCAGGTTAAAGCAATTAGTTTCAAGTTATAAAACACTTGTGTCTTAAGCGTTCATCGAGCATTTTAATATTCATTCTTAGATTTAGTTGTTTTTGTTTTCTTCAACTCTTACTTTAAATCTTTTTTCATATTTACACGCTTTAAGTTGTTTTACATGACATCTCTTGCGAAAAGTTTAACCTTTATTTTTTTTGTTTTGGAATTTTTTTTTTTTATTTCGCATTATTTCCTCCTGCGACACTAACAAAATTATTAGTTTGACTTTCATTTGGTACCTTTTTTCCGCTCTATCGGAAACGTGAGCATTTTAACTGAAATGTTAGAAAGATTTTTGCATAAATGCCAAACCAACATCAAGCAGGTCTTTTCCATATATTTTTAGCTTTTTAGTGCTCTGCTCACTTTAATGGCTGCCTTGCATTTTCAATATAAAATTTTATTAAAATTTAATGCATTTTACGTGCAACATAGAGATAACACTTTTCCTCTTTTCTTTTTATTTTTAATATATTAAATTCGAATAGACCGTCAGGGTTAGACGAATGAAAAATTAAACAAATTTTTAAAAAAATCTATTTTAAAAACTAATGAAAATTTAGTTTTATTCTTTTCTTTTTTTTTTTTTTTTTGCCTTTGCGGCTGGCTTTATTGTTTAGGGGTCGGCTTACATGGGACATGTGTTTGCTGTTTCTGCTTTATTGAAAATTTATTTCCAATTTTATGTATGTACATAAATTCAAATAAGTTTTAGTTTCATTCTTTTTTTTTTTTTTTTTTGAAACCTATATTGACACTTTGTGCATAAACCGTTAAAATTGTTAAATTTTTTTGTTTATTACCACCAACAGAGAATACAGATTATTAGGTTTATCAGGCTATTGGGAGCGTGCTTCTGATTTGATGAGTCAGCTGTTTTCTCAGTCATTGATAGTTGGTATAGTGCAGTCTAGTATATGTACATTAAAGAATTGCGACTAACAACTCAATAGTCGTAGGTTCAAATTTCAAGTGCGATAGGGTTTTTAGGGCAGGCAATCGTACAATCTAAATTAAAAAATTCATACTTAATAAATTTATTTACAAAACATATATTTTATAAATAAAAAAAAAAAATATATATATATATATATATTTAATTAATAGGAAATTTCGGATCAACTTTTTTAAACATGTTTATGTTGTCATCATATAGATTACCTATAGCCAAAGGAAAAGAAAGAAAAAAAAAAAGAAGAAAATCGAAACAAAAATTTCTACTGTTTTTTTCTTATAAGAGTTTAACTTTGTCGGTATATATACTGGTGGGGGGACTTATCAGCAGATAAAGACGTTTTCCTCGTAAATTTTCAATGTTGGATTATAAACGCTCTCAAATCATTTTGTTGTTTTTGTCATCAAGGTATATCAAATCCCGCAAAAGCCTTTGAGTCACGCATCGCTTTGCAGTAAATCGTTGGACTCTTTTTGTCAGGAAAATCGGACAAAGCGGAATCAGGCCTTTACAAGACCGTAAACCAAGCGAATTTGATTTATTTACTATAAGTATTTAGTTTGTATGAAGTCCTGAGAGAGAAGGAGAAAAGCCTCCTCTCTGAACCTCTCAAAGATATCAATGAAGGCGGAGCCAGCAAAGATTTTTCTCTGGTCGTCCGTCCATCTATTTTGTTACCTACCTTTATTTCCACAGGTGAGAGCAAAGGACACGGTTAGCGTTTTCAAAAACTTCAATTTAGAGATATTCAATTCGCTGTAGCTAAAGGATTATGAAAAATGATTTCAGGATCAGTGAAACTTTTGAACAGCAATAAAACCCGTTTTGAATACAAACAAAAGGTTTATTCGCATTAAATATACTTTGTTTTTCTTAACTTCTTAAAAGGATTGGATGATGTAAAGGACATACGGAAAGAAATGCTGATTCGACTTAGCCTACACTGCCAACTCGTTTGTAGTCATGTTTTTGAAAATCTTAATACTGATATGAAAATTCATCTCACTTTATATTTTCTTATTCGAATTTCATAGCTCAAATTTTAAAACCGCTTACGCTAAGGAGTACAAAAATATTAGCAGATTTTCATTAAAGTTTTTCCAAGCTTGCCTGCCTGATTGCCCATCTGTCCATCTTTTATCCTTGCGTTCAACCTACAAATCGTACGTGTTGTCCTAAGGATGAACGCTATTGGAAACGGTCCAGATCAGATCGACGTGTCGGCCTTTACCCACGCCCCATTTTAAAAATATGTTATTTGAATAATTGTATCCAAAGAATAGGGTATTTATTGATCGGCCATGGCCCGCTATTATGTTTTTTTTTATTATATACTTATTTTGATGCTGGATATGCTTTCTATTTACCATTTTAGAGTCAATAGCGTTTCAAGTACAAATTACATAATTCATTTAATCGTTCACTAAAATAAACATAAGTTTATCTTGCTAACTTATAGACAAACGCATATACATATAATTATCTGAGATGATGGTAATCAAGGCTCACTCCAATAAGAAAAGTTGAATATGACTTCATTAGATTATAAAGGTAGATCCATAATAGATTTTTCGCTCTTCATATAACATTCCTCAAAAACGTATACTTGACCGTGTACGGAGCATATGCCTTTAAGCTATAGGGCCGCCTATTTCAGCAGCTAAAATTAAGATTTCTAACTTTGCTTTAGGATGGAAACAAAGACTTAATAATAGGGCCCATATCATCCATAGATCTGTTACAATAATTTCTGTACAAATTTTCTAAAATTATGACGGACCATCCAAATAATGAGCAGACCTTTTAATTGTCAACATTACTTTTGCAATCAGAAAGTCCGGTCCGATGTTTTTAGTTCAAACTTCTACCACATATAGCATTATTTGAAATGAAAAGTTTATTGGAATTTGCGACTGCGCATAAGGTTTGTGGACTGCAAGCTTGCCCGCCGTAGTCTTCGTGAAGTCTGTTTAATTTGCTTGAAAGATATTTTACCCCAAGTATTCAAAAATTGAAAAAACCAGATATAGATCTTCCGTGCTTATGCAGCCTTATGCAGCCTACGATTATCGAATAGATTAACAAAAATTCCCAATTAGTCAAACGTGTATAAAATGATTAACAAATGTAGCCACAGAAATGCAGCGGATAAGAGAATTAATCAGAACGATATGTATTTAGTATTCCCGACTGGTTTCAGAAACTCTATAAGCAAAGAGATGTTCGAAACGACCGTGATATTTCGAGAAAAACGAAAACGAAAACAAGAAGTGAAGTAATTGTTGTGTTAAAATAAGTTCCTGTAAACGATTTCCTTTATTGAAAATAAATTTTC